AATATTTGATAAACATGAATGAAATTAGTTGAGAATCTATGGTAGTCTGTCTACATTTATATAAATTTTTTGGAAAGAAAAAAAAAAGTCATTAGCATAAAATTTTTGAAATTCAGTATTTATTTTAATCACGAGCGCAGTGGTGAGCCACGCTTCACTGATTTGGCCAGTTTTTGGGCATGAAATGGAACAAATTGCATGAGTCATTCAAAAGTGTAAAAAGGATTGGAATTGAAACATGCGCTTACGAAGGGCAAAGGAAAGCGAAACGCACACCTTGAGTATGCAAGTTATGAGCATGAAACAGAGTGCTATTAAGACAATATACATAACTAAATATTTAGAAATTATTTACTAATTGTCGATTATTATTATCATAAAGAATCTATCTGAGCGGCTGACTAGGCAAAGCATCTCGGCTAACAACTGAGGTCTACATTCCTAATTTCTATTAAACTTTTAAGTCTGCTCTACGAAAACTAAGTGATATAAGTGATCTTTAATGATTAACCTTAGCCTTAGTCTTATGTTTTTAACTTGCTTTTAATTGCGTTGAAGTTGTATAGGTATTCTGAAGCTTGAGTTTTACAAAATTTCCGTAATTCATGTATACTAAGGATAGGTTAAAATCAGACAAACAAAGAAGCCTTCACGATTGTTTTGAAAAATTGCCCTTAACAAAGGGCAAAGCGGTTTTCAGTATGCGGCGAAACTTCTAAACTTGAATATAGCGATTAGTGACAAGAGACGACTAAGTGTTGCGCCTGAAATTCTGAATCGATATCTTAGGTAATGTGTGCATTTCACTAATAACAGAAACAAGTAAGAAAATTATATTCGGTCGTGATTGTTCTATCTTTTATATCCATCTCCCCTTATCCTAAGAAAAACAATAAAAAGCAAAAGAACTCAATTATTATTCTTTATAATTTGTAGCTGGAGTTGCTGGTTTTTTCTACTAAAAGTATTTGCCGCATAGGCGTGTGGGCGTTATAGGCGTGTCCTTTGAAAAGTTTAGATCATTTCCAAATTCTTCTCCATTCTCGCTAATACGAGGATGTTTACCCCAGACACTGTACTGTACAGTATTGTAGATGCGCTACAGGACGGAGGGACATGCTCAGGCTCGTTCCGAATTTGAGACTAGACAAGAATCAATGCACTTCATGAGGTTTTCGATGCATGATAAAAGTTTTGAAAAGAATGCTGAACTATAAAATTAGGTAGATGCGGTCGATTATTTTTATTATTATTATTATTATTATTATTAATTTCGCCAGAGAAATAAATTCTAAGACTAAACTCTTAAAAGCACTAGCATCTAAGGCTATCGGCTTTTTATTAAAAACTCTACCGCACTTGAGATTCGAACCCACGACCATTGACTTGCTAGTCGAGATTCCTCCCCGCTTCTCGATTATTTTTATTTTCGTAGAGGTTACTACAGCATCCGCCCATAGCATATACGTTCAGATTTTTGTAGATATCTACTGCATTTTATGAGTAATGTGCAAAACGTAAATTTTTTATTGCTTTTGAATTTTTTATTCCTTGTTCTCAATGCGCGTAGTACTGTAGGCGTGTCCTTCGACCGACTTGACTCAAATTCAAACCCAATTTGCGTACAAAAGCTTCCAATGTTTCTGCCGTATTTCAAGTCGATGTTTACAACCGACATTACACAGACGGACATGCTTATATCAATTTGAAATTTAATACTGAACAAAAACTTTCGGTTTTCCTTTTTTTTTTTCTTGAGCTTACATCAATTTGGGCTATCAGATATAATATAATCTGTGTATTTTTTTCACAAATAAATTTTTGTACGATACATTTATCATAACTATTGGAAATAAACCCTAAGTAATTAATTCGACTGAAAATTTCAATTTACGTTTTTTTTCTTTGGGTTATTACGAGTTGATTGAAAAAATTATACTATACTACTAATGCGATCATCTCCTTACAACAAATAAATAAAAAGCAACCACAAGTTATACGCGGTTATCCCTGAAATTACTATACGTGCATGTATCTCATCCCATCCCAGTTTGTAGACAAAAAATCACGAAAAATTACACTAATTTCCTTTGGTTACGTTTTCATGTTAAGCGAAATTGTATTATATTCCAAAGGGGGCGAGGTGGGGAGAGGGGGGGAATCCGCATTAGTGGACTTGTCTAAACTGAAATTGCGTTGGTGGACTGACAGCTCAGGCTATGTTGGCGCCACCCGCCATACATCGAAAATCCAAATTCAATTGTATATACTTTACGTAAGTAAGTGAACACATTAATACAAACATATTATATACGGAAACAAAACTTGAAATCGTAAAGACAGAAACAAAAAAAAACTTTACTATTAAGCTTAAATCGAAACTATTGATACCTTTCCATTTCATTCTATTGCCGACTGACTGTAGATCGCGAAAAGCTTTACAAAAAAAAAAGAAAGGAAAAATCTCATTTTTACAATCATTTAATGCAATAAATTTTTTCGAATAATAAGTTAAGCCGAAGAGAGTTAATACAACTATGCTATGATACATGACAGAGCCGGAAATAGAGTTCCTATGAAAGCTCCCCTCGGAAAGCATCTGATATTCGTTAGTACTAAGAAACTAAGAACAAGCACATGGAACGATTTGTTTGTCACCGATGAAGGGATCAAAGTAATGCAAAAAAAATTCTATCTAGAAATTGTGGTTAAGTGTAGGAAAAGAAAACTTTTGTAAAAGGTTAGACAATGGCAAGAAGAGTTCCAGGCAACACAATCAACAAGTCAGTGTGGGCGGATTCAAATTCCAAATGCGGTAAAGTGTACATCGGCATAACACTTACCCGCTATAGCCACCACCTCGCTGTCTCTTTCTTTTTCTTCAACTCTTTCTGACCGTCACCGTAGTAGTTAAAGAACAAGATATTTCGATTCAACCTTATATACAAACACCGCAGATATAGTTTGTTAAAATAACAATATAAACAACAGGAATGAATTTCGAGTACCTTGGAGGATGTTTGTCTATTTATTTATTTATTTATTTATACATTTATTTATGCATATAAATAGAATTACAAAAGACATTCAGCTGAGTTCTTTTAAAATGAAATAATCAAGCTACCTTTTTATACCCTACACGACCTTGTAATACAGTGTACAAGGGGTTTGCATGCGAACCACTTGTTATTACTTAAGCTTGTCTGTCCGTCTGTCCATCTTTTATTCTTGCGTACAGGTTGCAATTTTTAAGATATTTTATTGACACTTGGAAATAGTTCGGAGTGGAGCGCTCCACTCTCAAACCCTCTCCAAGTAATGTCTTCTTTTGAAAAGTCGTTATATGAACAGCGGCGTTGAACGAAATAGTGTAGGGTGTTTATTGCTGAGCACTGGAAATAATAAAACAAGTAAGAAAATCATATACACTCTAGGATGAACTTTAAACATCGAACGCTTGGAGTGTATATGTAAATCAATCAATTTTAATGGAAATTTTACAGGTCACCAACATAATTGCCTAACATTTTATATCGATGTGTGCACTAATATGTAAATTACAGTTTTTTCGTTGTTATGGTTACGTTTATGATAATGGATGGCGCCCCTTTTTAAAACCTAGAACCGGACGATCGACCACGAAGACATTTTAAATTTTAACTTGCAATGGACGAATAGGCGATTTTTCAATCTGCCTGTTCGCAACGATACATACCTAGTAGCTTATCTTTATACATTCCATTTACGCTCTTAAGTCTTACAATGATAGGATTTTTCCTTGATGATTGTAACAGATAAGCTCAAGTTCTACCTAGGCACGTCTATAAGGTGCATATTAAATAAGTAAGCAGGACTTTTTCAAAATATCATATTTTTGTAGCACTAAGCTGCTTAAGTTGGAAGATTACATCCATAAAGCGGCTTTCTATCACTTAAAGCTCTGAGAATTGGACGTGTGGAAGCCAAAGTAAGCGACATTGTAAGCGACAATGTATTCGTTTAATTCCCAGTTTCCCAAAGCATGAACAAACATATAAAAAAAAAAAAAAAAATGAATTTAACTATTTATCACTTATGCTATCTTTACTGCATAATATTTCAGGTTACCAACGCTCTAAGAAACAAAATAAACCCTTTTTGTATTATAACTATTACTGAAAAAAATAAGACGCAGAAACAACAATGAAAAAGACAAGAAAATGTATCTTCTTAATGGAAATTTATTGTTGCCACAGATTTCTTTACTAACCACCCACCCAAAAAAAAGAAACAATTCTTAGTTCTTAACTGTTTTACATGTACATGTGTGTTTGCCTATATCTTCGCCTAACTGCTGAGAGTACAAACTAAATACTATTCCATACTGTGCATATAAGTTAAGCTCTCTCTCTCTCTCTCTCGCTCTCTCTTTTTCTCTCTTTCTCTCTCTCTCTCTCTCTCTCCCTCCTGTGCCCGTTATTTTTCAATTGTTTCAAGTGTTGTCAATTGTGTGTCATTGTCTTACTATATAGAGGTGTATGTATATATTTATATATATATATATGTGTGTGTGTGTGTAAATTTGAATTATTGCAAACTTTTATAGATTTCATGTTCAATATTCAAATTTCGCAATACCACATGCCGGGATATTAAGAAGACTAACTTGCTTTCTTTTCCTTCGTTTGTCCCTCCTTCTTAGATTGGACATGAAATGCTAAATTAAAAGAAAAGAAAAAATCTTTTTTGCCTCGATTCATCATAAATATTCTGACACAAATGGGTGGGTGAATGAGTATCTTTCTGTCTATCGGTTGGCTTATGGGTTTTTAGGTAACCGAATAGAATACACGCAGTGTTGGTAGCTTTCCATTCACCTTATTGAAGTCTTATGTTATTAAAAAGCAAAAGAATTTCATGTGCACTATATCTTACTTGATCTTTTATGCTTTTATGAGAACCACATAAAGTATTTAAGTTCAACAAGTTTTTTTTTTTTTTTTTTTTTGCTTATTACTTACCTTTTATTTTCGCCTTAGTCCATAGTTCATTAGTGACAAATGGCAGCACAACAAGTAACAATAAAACTACCAAATCTCTACGTCTATAGAACATTGCCTCGATTCTTGCTGATGTTACTGCTTTCTTTAAGAGATTTCTTACAAAATATCTTACTCTTGTGTTGGTTACCTTTTTGCTGATTAATGTTGTCGTTATTATTTACTAAAGCACTGTTGTACACTGTACTCTTTTTGCCTTTGCCTTTGCCTTTGCCTTTATGTATATTTTTACTTCTCTTCCCTTGATATCAATTCATTTTGGTGAATAATTTTAATTTATTTATTGCAATGAAATTATTAAACCATGATTGGTTTTCACTACAATTTTTATTGTAATTTCGCTTGGCTTTCCATTTAATTAACATTATAACTTATATACAAAATTTTTTCTTCCTTTTTTTTTTTGTTTTAAGTTCTATTCAGATTCATGATAATGATAATAAATTTTATGAAGCGTATTATTATTTTAATTGTTCTTGATTATTATAATTAAAAGTAACATCACTTGATGCACGCATGCGCTTGGCGTTAGAAATGACAAAAACAAGTCGATCTATTTGTCGTACTAGTAATTAAGTTCTTATTTTATTTACACGTAAGAAGCGTGAAACTTTCATTCGTACATTAAGTTTATCACGCTTAAGATGAAGCTTAAATACGAGGGTAGATCAAAAGGAAAATTACATACTAGATAATGCTAGTTAAACATCATTTAAGTGTACTTGTCTCGCTTCTTTAGCGGTTTTAATTTCTAGCAAAATAAAGTTGATGGTCTTAGGCGTTCTTTTTCCCCCAGACGGTTTTGCGTTAATACTAGATTTCCGAATTTAAAGAATTCAGCATAAGGATAGTCGATGTCGATGTCTTCAGATGTTGTACGTTTTGGTGGTTTTTAATGATATACATGATATACCTTTTTGCTCGGGCACGCCTACTTTTGCTATTTTAACTCAAATGACATGTTGTATGCCTATCTCCTGTCGGGTAATTTTATTGAACCGCCACAGTCGCGAAAATGAAGGTAAAAAGCTGCAATATGGTTATAAACATTTTTTGATCGAGATTCAAAAATGGCCGCAATTCAGATTTTCATCTATAACTTTCGACCACGTAAATATATTACTCGAAAACCCACCTTCCCACCTGTTCACCAGAACTTACTACTTGCTCCACGTTGCACACATTGGACCGGATTTCATCGTTAACTGTGGACATGTTAGTAGGTCGGTTGGAAACAATTTTTAGCGAAACAAGAAAAGGATTCTAATAACATTTTGACCAGAGTTTTTCGAAAATATCCTCATGGGATCGAAGGTTGTACACGAAAAATGTCGGTGTTTTTCGAACTTGTTTTAGTTTCTTCCGCAGTATGGCTGTATCTATAAGCTGATCGCGCTCATCTTTCAGCCTCGTATTGTTAGTCGATCAAGGAATGCTTATACCAGGTTTCAACTTCAACCGTCAAATTGACTGGTTTCCGTACATCTAGTATTAAAAGCAATGCAATGTTCAAATATAGTTTTATTTGTGATATTTTTATCCCGCTCCATAGACAATTCGGATAAAAAATTCGATAAAAACAACATAGAGTTTATATACAAGTGGTATTTTTCACTTGACTTCGCTTTCGTAAAACATACATATGAACATATTTTCTTATTTTTTTTTTGCGTACGACTGACGTGATTGCTTCGGATTCATTTAGCCATTAATGCAGATTAAAGAGATATATTTTGTGAAATTTAATTCCGTATAGAATTGCATTTGTACCGCGAATTCTATATATTGTGTTCGATAGAAATAGCACATCGGGAATATGTGAACAAGGCAAATGAAAGACCGTGAAGGCGTCAAGCATCATAGGATGTCAGGCCTAATGATTTCTATTAATAAATTTTAATCATTAAATAAATGATATCGAAATATACGACGAAACTCGCTGAATTCGTCAATAATTCTATGAGAAGGAGAACTTAGTTGTGATCTCGTATTTACTCTATAGGAATAGTTTGTGGCGACTTTTGTTTCATTTACGTCTTTTTTTTATTCTCTCTGCACTTTTAAAGGTCCTCTTAAAAGACAACGTTCTTTAGCTATAGCTAAGATAAAAGCGAAATCGCATGCCACGCTCAAGGTCGCATCTAATGGACATTCTAATGGATAACATTGGCAGTAGGACTCCAAAAACCTAAAAGCCCCACTGTGCTGAGAATTAATTACATATATAGCTGTCGTTCAATAAAGTCTAAACCTCTTCCCACTCTCTCATATCATATAACGTTTTACTCAAGGTTTGAACTAATACATATATATATGTTAAGATAACATCGATGTTGACGTACATCGAGCAGATGCCCCTACTTTCAAAATCTAATTCTAAAGGGGTGCTACTGTCACCCATCTTGCCGTGTTACAAAACGTATGACTTATTCTTTGGGAGCTCCAAGAGTATCTAAGATACTGTTATAATTAAACTTAGGTTTATTATTGAGTCCTGCCTCGACGCTGCCCATCAATGCAATCTAGGTTTTATTTAGTTACGAAGACAACCACTCGCGCAATACAAGTATGACTTATTTGGGTTACAAAAAGGCGAAGGAACTTGAGATATTTAATGAGCAGAGCAATGCAGCAGAGAAAAGTGCACGGATGTGAAGAAATTATGTCATAGCAAATGTATTGCTTTCTCTTATCTTTTTATTTTTGAATTTTTTTATATTTAGCAGGGCAGACATACTCAAGGAAATCGAAGAGTTCTGCAAGTCTGGATCAGTGGATTTCATTCGGCATTAAATTACATTGAAAAACTGGAAAGCATCTCTTTTGCATAGCAAAATATAACACAGTAACATTCACATCAACGATAAATAAGAACACTAAATACGCTACAAGACTTCTCGTTGTGCTACGAAAACTAAGCCTACCCAGCCTAAATCTTGCTTAAAGACTTTTCCATTAATTTGAAGTTAAACTTTCACGACAGGATTTCAATTATGTAAGCAATTCATTATTATCTAATGTCTTAGGAGCTCCCGTATTAGTCACACATATCTGCATCATATATATTATTTCATTAAACCATATAGCATTATTTATATATGGCAGATACATTTTATGTTAGTTAACATTGTTAATAAATTTCCCTACGCAACTGCTTCCAAAATTTATGAGATATTCTAATGAAACTCTTGCGCCAATAACAATACATAATAATAATACAAAAAAAAAAAAAAACAAAAAACAAAAAAAAACAAGAAATAAGAATAACAACATCAAGCATAGCATATAATAAATAAAAGCTAACAAAAAATATCATAATAAAAACAATATTATTCCTCGCATTGAACTTGAATTTTTTGTTGGGTATTTTGTGAATATATATATATTTACACACAAACGCAAACACACACACACATTCACATATATTTATATACATATATGCATATGTGTATTGTATATGGTTTAAGGTTATGCGCTTAGCTACAGTAAATACACATATATGTGCACAAATACTTCAATAAAGTATTGTATACAATTTTGCAGATATATTTTCATATGTACAATATATATATATATATATATATATAAATATATATGTATGCATATGTATGTTTATTTACATATACATATATCTATTGAAACATATAAGGTAGCATGTGCGTTTGTTTGTATTATTATAGCTTAGCAGGAAAAAAAAAAAAGTTTTTTTTTTTTTTTTTTTGGTAATTTTCTTTTACCTCCACAATCAGTTGCGAAAGTTTGCATTGCGTTGTGTGCGTGTGTGTGTGTGTTTGTATTTTGGGCTTTTATTTTATTCCCTTTTTAAATAGCAAGAAAAAGTTATATGAGAACTCAATGACAACAATGCCTGTTGTATATAATGTATGTACATATAAATCTATCTACCAGCCGCAGCCATCCATTCATAATACAAAAATGTATATAAATGTATAATATATATACGCATACGAATATATATATATATATATTTATATACGCATATATATATATACACAGATAGATGTTTATATATATATCCAGAAAGTTACTGACGTTTACTTTAACTCACACACACAAACAATGTATAGAAGCAAAACGAAAACCCTTGGTTAGCGTATACATTACTTTTATCATTCAATTTGTAACATAACCTCTGCGGAAGAATTACTTTTGAAAATTTATGAAGAATTTCGTATATTAGAAATTGATGGACTACACTGCTTCACCTAATAATAGATCATTTTTGTTTTTTTTTTTTTTTTTTTACTTTATACATGATGTAATCGAATAAGTAAATATGCTTTTAGATGGTCATCCTAGTCACTCTGGTTCGAAATTAACTAAAATAAAAAGTTATGGGTTTCTTAGAACGCTGATTATAAAGGGATAAACTGTCCCAGCTGTCCTAGATTACTGCTACAAAGTACTTGGCCTTTTTAAGGTAGACTTTAGGTGCAAGTCCTAAAACAATTTCTTTCTAGGACCGATAGGTTTTATGCGTAATGCAACTTTAGAGTTTTGAGGCCGTTCGTACATACACTGACCCATCGATGAAACCGATAATTTTCTTAAACCTATCGGGCATTATGTGTAAGCTGCGACTTGGACCGAAGTGTTTTCTTATTGTTCCTCTTCTTTCTTTTACACTTTTTTTAACGACGCGCATTGTGCTTCCAGTGGATACGCGCTCATATCCAACACGTATGAACGTTGTGTTTTGCATTATATGCGTTTATATGGTTATAAGTTTGTAAAGTTATTTAGAATTTCGAACACATATCGAAAAGAAACGCTAAACAAAAACAAAAACGACAAACCGACGACACAATAATAAAAAATGAAAATAAATTTTGTTGCGGTTTTTAGTGGATGTTTTTTTTCTTTTTTTTTTTATTACTTTTTTTGGTTTGTTTTCTTTTCTTTTTTTTTTTTTTAATTTTACTTTAATTTCGTTTTGTTGTTGTTTTGTATTATTAAAAGTCATACAATTGTTTTTTTTTTTTTTTTTCTTTTTATATTATTATTTATATGTATGTTGTAATTGTAAGATTGATGTCTTATAAGTTGTATTTGTAAACTTTGGATCCATCTATAAAGTTAATCATGCCTTAAGTTAATAACCGTAAATCGTAGTTAAACTCTTATCACGACACCTTGTGATGGTCGTCACGACCATAAGTGCGAGGAAGCGTTTGTCTGCAACATTTTTGCATAACACAATTAATATATTCATCATCTTCTATACAGTAGGACTTCTCAAAAAAAAAAAGAAACGTGAAGAACTTCATTTTCAAAGAAATTAATTAATAGCTTTTGCTGCTAATTGACATTTTAAGTTTATTTCTATACCGTAATAGCCGGCGAGATTACATTGATAACATTTTCGTACTTTATCACAATACATAGCTCGCTTTCTGCGCTTCCCTGTCTAGACGA